ATTTTTAAGTTCCATTCCTGGGAGAATCCCTCACTGAGAACACAGCCCTGCTTAACAATACCTGTGTAAACTCAATTTGCAGAGGAGCTGAACTCAAACCCTGGGTTTGAATAGGTGATTTTAGGATGCTTTTTGCCTCAGTTTTCCACCCACCAGCTTTATTTGGAAATATTTTAATTGATAAATAACCAATATTTGCTTCAGTTGAATTCACAAGGGCATATTGCTTGATCTCTGTGGGTTTTGGGCAGCCATCAAGTAACCATGAAGTTATCCCTTAGTTCTAGAAATATTCCCTTTCCTTTAACTCCAGAATCTCTTTCCCTCCTTTAGCCACTGACAGACACTGAAGTAGTAATTCACAATAAAATCATGTTACTACAGGGGAAAAAAACCCCACTAAAACAATGATCACACATTCCTCAACTTCTGATGGAAAACATGGTTTTCAACAGCACAAAATCGTTGCGTTTGGTTGAAAGAAAAAAGGAAAGCAAGAGAATTTCGTTCTATTTTTGGACCTCTACTTAATATCAGAGGAAATTTCCAATAGTCAATGGGATCACAAAGCAGCTGGTGTTGCTCTCCAAACTAAAGAATTATTATAAAAAAGCCACAAGTCTTCAGGCATCTGGAGCTGCATTAAATTTACAATGCAGTGTTAATGTAACCTTTCCTCCCCTTTCTCTCCCCACCCCCTTCTCTTTTTAATGATACACGTGAAACCTAACATTTAATTTCTCTTAATTTATGACCAGCATAGTATGAAATATCTGAATATTGTAATGGCTCTGGAAGTGAGGCTGGGGCCAGAATTGGACACTGGATCCCAGAGCTTTGGAATTTTGGGGATGAGCCAAACCCAGCCCAAACTGTGCAGCTTCACACCCATCTCTGATCTGAAACATTAGCTTGACATTTTTCCAGTCATGAGCAACCATTGCTCCGTGCTGGAAAAGCCAGCAGGATGAACTGGAAGGCTCCATTTCCACATCTTTTATTTGTGTTTGTGCTTCATCAACAAAGCCTCAGCTTTGGGCTTTCATTAATTCTCCATTAAAGAACAAAAGTGGTGCTGGGTGAGACCCTTTCAGGCCAGGTTTCAGCAGTGATTTAAATGAGAATTTTGATAGAAGGATTCTCTCTGCTCTTTTATTTAATAATCACAGAAGAAAAAAGAGTGTTCTGATGTCTCCTGGAGGTTTGACAAGCACTACCCCATTGAAAATGGAAATATTTCTGCTGCAGAAGAACATATCCAGGAATTAAAACACACTTAGATGAGCATTGCTGCAGAATTCTGTTTGCACAAGGGAAGTGAAGTGCTTGGAAATGTCTGGAAAAGGAGGGACTTAATAACAACAGCTGTACAAATAATTTATTGGGGAAAAACCAGCAGAGGTCTTAGATATGGCCCAAGACTGAAACATAATGAATTAAATCATGAAATGAATAAACCACTCTACTGCACTGTGTTTTTTGACAGGATGCAAAACTATCCCTGCAAACCTCACAGACAACTCTGCACATTCATTACTGTGCCTGGTGAATAAATTAACAATTGCAATGAAAATTAACACGTCCAAAGTGTGCAAACAGACCACTAATATTTTTAAGCAATTTTTTTTCCTCCCCCACTTTTGACTTTCAGGGTTGCTGACAGACCATGTCCAACAAGCAGCAGGCAAAAAGGATTAATCAACATTTTAAAAGAGAAAATTCAATAAACACACACACACAAAAAAAAAAGAAAAATAAAATAAAAAATAAAAAAACAACGAAGAATAAAAGAAGTGTCCAGAAGCCACTGGAGTGTCCAAGAACACTCCAAATTTTGGGTTTGCTCAGGGAAATAATGTTGCTTTCCTTAGAAAGCAGGAGGCAGACAGAAAACAAGCTGTCTTTGCCTATTGTCCTTACTGTTCATCACGGCTAATTTGCTTTGGAACACGGAGCTTTGTTATTCCCAAGGTGTCAAATTTTAGCAATTTGAGCCACTTTTTGTATCTTTTTTTTTTTTTTTTTTAATCCACACTGACCTCTGCAGCCCAGAATAAACCTCAGCAACCCTCAGTGTCCAGCTTTGAAGGAGCCTGAATGAAGATCTTTGGTCTCACTCAAAAACCTCGAGAATTCTGCAATTTGTCTCAAAGGTTTCAGTTCTGCAACCCTGAGAAAACGTTGGCATTTTGGGGTTGATAAAAAAAGCGAATTAACTTCATGGTTTTAAAGGCTGATCTTGATTAATTCGGGGGCCTGAAGTGAATTCTCACACCGAGACTCAAAGGGGATGAGGTCCCAAGGAAGGAAGGGCAGGAGGGGTTGAAGTTATCCCAGAAAACAGAACCCTGCACTTTCACTTGGCTCCGTTTGCCCAGCTTGGCACAAAACCCCAGCTCTTGTCCTCGATAAAATGCTGATTTTGGTCCAGAGATCAAAAGCAAGGCCAGGCTCTGTCCCATCCAGGATGAAGGGATTCCATCCCCATCCCTGTGATCCTGCAGGATTGGGTTTAATTTCGTTTAATTTCCCTCTTTCAGGTTTCCCTGGACATCTGAGGCCGCTGGGCTCTGTCACATCCCTGTTTGGGTGAGGTGACACCAACAATAACCCTGACACCACAGAGAGATTTCTGCCCCCTTCCAAAAAAAAAAAAAAAAAAAAATTAGATCCAAACTCCCCCTGCAGCTCAGCATCTGATGGAAATCAAGGATTTGAGGATTTTTTGGGAGTGGCCGGCGTGGGTTTGAAATCAGAGCTGAATTTCTCCAATATTCCAGCGTGTTTGGGTCCAGAATTTCTCTTTGGGCAGTCACCACCAATATTCTGTGTATTGTGGCAATGCCTCAGATCCTCGGGTGTTAATCAGGAGAACCCTGGGCACAACATTTTACAAACTCAGGATAAAACCCCCCCCAAAAAAATGAGATTATTTATGTCTCCTGACATTCCACAATCAGCTCTCCTCGCTGCCTCCAAGAGCCTACAAGATGTGTTTACATGCTGTAAAAGAGGTTTTCTTTTGCTTTGCAGATTTTTTTTAGCGTTCTTGGCAGATGATAACTAATTGCTGCTTTTTTTTTTTCTTTATGGAAACTGCCACTTGAAAAAAAAACTCAGTAGAAATTTGCTAACAATGAGCACCTCTTTTTTCCTCGTGTCTTATCATCTCTAAAAAACACAGAGTGAAGAAGTCACTGCAGTCTCTTTAAACTGCTGGTGAAAAAAATTAGGTTGGTCAGGAATTTTTCTTCAAATTTCTTCGTGCTCCAAAACAAAAGCTAATAAATCTTTTTTAATATTTTTTTGTCTGCACTTCTTTAATTTTTCTGAGCTTTCAAAAGCTTTCGCTTTACAGGATTTCTCGTAAAAGTTGAAACTTTTTTTAATTATTAAATTTTTCATTGCTAGCCGAAGCGGAAGGAAAATAAAAATCACTTTTTCTATGAGAACACATTTTGATGGAAAGTCTGAAGCAACTCAGTAAACTCCTGTGGAGTTTTTAACTCCGTTTATAAATGAGGAAACTGATGCAAGTGAACACAAAACGTGAAATATGAAGCAATGGAGCATCAAATGCCAAACCTGTGGATGTCACCTTCCCGAGTCAAGGATCCACAGGAAAACCACACATCCCTCAGTGAGCTAAAATCCAATTTTTGTTAGAGGTGGGAGACAGTGAGGGCACAATAACAAGGAGAACAAGCAGCATTTTCAAGGGTGGTCCTGGGTTCCACCAGTGAATTTTGGAGGCTCTGGATGGCAAAGGATTCATGGAGTTCATCCAAGGCTCTCCTGGATCAAGAGCACGGATTTACCAAGGGAAGTGACCCCAGTTGGAATCAGAGATGGGAAGAGAGGGACAATGGCTCAAAGGTCACCCAGAAAATCTGGGGTGCAGCCCAACCACCCAATTTCATCCCTGGGGCTCAGCCTTGCCCCAGAGCCACTCCCAGCCCCACTTTCCTCCCCCTTTCCTGCTGGAGTTTGTAAGGCAGGAGATTTTTTTTGAATTTTTTAGAGAGAGATTAGAATGCAGGGATTGAATTAAAGCCATTGCATGGGTTGAAGTTTGTTAAACCTTTACCTCACAACAACTATTAACTACTTCACTTTTTAAAAGAGGAACATAACCCAAAAATGTGAGAACCTCAGAGCACCCAGAGGTGCCCAAATCCTCCCCCTTCCCAGTGCCCTGACCCCACACCCAGGCTGCCAGGGCTGGACCCTTCCCCTCACTCTTCACCAGGGGCTGAGCTACAGGTGAAAGCTTCTCATTTATTAATTTATTATTTATTTATTTTATTTTAGAGCTGCCCAAATGTGAGGGATGGGAGCTGTGCCTGGCCCTGCTCTCCCCACTGCCCCTCTCCCTCTGCTCTGCCGTTTCTGGGAGCTGGAATTCACAATCCAGTGGCAGATTTCACTGCACAACAGCTGGGTCAAGGTCCCAGGGGGGCTTGTAGCTTTTGCTGTGAGATCTTAAAGTGACCATCACTATTTTGGCTTCTTTGGTTTGTTGCTTTTTTTTTTTTTTAAGCTGAAGGGAGGATTTGAGAGTGTTAGAAAGCAAAGAAAAAAAAAATAACAGGGAAAGAGGTAGGAAATGAGGAGGTTGCTCGTGTAGCACGTACAGAGCTACTTTGAAAAATTCTGAGGCATCTAAATATCACAAGCACGATCCCTGCTGTGGGCAGCTGTATGTGTGAGTGCTTTGCCCGAGGGTGTCAAATCAAATATCCACTGCTGGTTGGTACAGTACAGCACTTCCCCCTGGGGATTCAGGGTGGAAAAAGAGGGAAGGGAGAAAAAAAAAAAAAAAAAAAAAAAAGGGAAAAAGAGGTTTAAACACAACAAATGGAGAAAAAACTTTAACACTGTCTGATATGGCTTTTCATAGATTGTCATCGTGTTTATTAGGAGCAACGTGGGAGAGAGGAGATGGGAAAGGAAAAGAAGAACAAAGGCAGGCAGGTTAATGCTGAGCCTTTAGGACTTACCTGGAACCGTCTCATATCTCTGGGGTTTCCTGCTGTTTTCAAGCAATTCTGATTGCACTTGAGAAAAAATTTTAGGAAGAATCTGGAAAGATAAAGAACCACGTCACTTCTATTAACCACAGCAAGAGGTGTTGTTGTATTCTGGTTTTAAATGTACAGGAGGTGATTTGCAGGAGGGTGGATCTTACAGGGCTACAAAAATTTCTAAAAAACACAAACGGAACAAACTCTTAACAAAAACAGAATTTACAAAAAACAACAGGTCAAGTGTGACTGAAATCCACCGTGGTGTGAGTGAAGATCATTGCTCTGATCTGCACCCATTCCCTCTCTGCAGGTTTGGCCACTCAATTTCAGTCCCTTCCTTTTTGTCTCCCTCACATCCAGGGTCTTGCTTTGGCTGTCTGGAGGGATTTTCCATGAGACAGTGCAGCAGGAGAGTGGTGTTGTGGAAATCACAAAACCAACAGGGCAGCTCCGAGGCAGATAAGCTTGGAACGATTTGGGATGCAGGAAAAAAACCAGGAGCAAACACAGATCAGAGAAGAATCTGATGAGGTTTCATCCTGATGATTTTTTTGTGTGTGTGTTTTTTGGTTTTTTGGTTTTGTTTTTTTTTTTTCTGATGAAGATTCCAGTCCCTAAAGCAGAGGAGCAGAACTGCCAAGAGCCCAGATTATTCCTACCTGGATTTTGGGGGGAGGATAAGGAAAACACGAGCTCAAGTGGAACATGGCTGTCCCAGCAGAAAACCCCATTAATATCCCACAAAGTTCTCGTGCCAATTATTTTTGCCCTGTCACAAACACCCATCCTCACATGGTTTATTATTCTGTAGAGTTTAGTTTGTCATGTACCCAAAGGTGAACCTCCAGCCTGCTTGGTGACTCACCCAACACTGCAAGGAGATTTTTAGAGTTTAGAAATATTAAGCAGGAATTTTTTTTTTTTTTTTTGCCCCCTAAAGCTATTCCACCAAATTTTGTCTCACATCCACGGAGGAAAGGATTCACCCCTTTGTTTTCTGATTGAATCTGGACGTTTTAGAGGTAAAGAAACTGTGTGAAAAGCTACAGTTGCTGGATTAAAACCAAAACAAACAAGTTTTCAAAATTCAGGCACAAGCAAGAATTTTTTTGGCATCCTCTGTTGCAAGTGAAAAATATTCTCTGTGATTCTTTCCGTTTCTATTTGTCAGACAAGATGGTTTTAACGGCAACAATTGTAATTAAAAAAATAAATCAAAGACTTCGAGATAGATTTAGAAGGGAAAAGAGTCAGATACAAGAAAAAATAAATAGTTGAAGAATTGATTTCGAATACAAAGAACAAGTTATTTATTTATTTCTCTTGCCGAGTGCTTTCCTTAAAAAAAAAAAAAAAAAAAAAAAAAAATCTGCTTTTGCAGTAAGTTAAAGTCCCAGGTGAGCCAGGCCTATTTCCCTTTCTGTTACTATGACAACGATTTTTTACCGCAGTCCCTAAGTCCCTTCAGAACTCACACATTCATGCCTTGAATTAGAACTTTAAAGGAGAAAGATGGATATTTGCCGGGTTTACCAACACCACCCTCCAAAGCAGCCCCTGCACGAGACAATAACACAGAAATCTGCTCTCCCCTTGTTAGTGCCACTTCCTCTGCGCTGCTCCCACCACGAGATTTCTCCTCCATCTGCCCCAAAATACAAAGGAAAAGGCACGGGTTGGATCCGTTTGTGTGCTGCTTGAACGAACAAAAACCCCCTCCGAAAACCTCACCCGCAAAACAGACCCAGATTGTGCCATAAAAAAATATACAAAATCCACCCTGCCGGGGATTTTTAATTAAAATATTCTAATTTTTAACGATTATTTCCTTAAATCTCTCGCAAATAGAGGAGGTATTTTTAAAATGTTTATTTTCTCGAGGTGAAAGCGTTGTTTTCTTGATATTTCCTTCTTGTTTCAGATCTCCCTGGAGCAGGACATGGGAGGTTCAGCAGGAGAGAGTGCTCAGCTCTCAGAGGGCAACTTCTCCCCTGGCCTCCAGACTAAAAATCCTACAGAAATTCACGCCTTGGGAGCAGCACTGAATATATTTTATTAAATAAGTCCTGTCGAGTCCGTGCTAAAACCTGTGACCTCTTTCATATGAAAGATTTGGGTGAGATTTGATATAAAAATAAAAGTTTTTCAGCAGGTAAAAAAAAAATCCCCCTGCACGCCATCACCCTCGGAGATGCACAGGATAACGTGAGGAATAAACTCACAAACTCTCCTTTTTATCTTTCCCCCTTTTCTTAGAGATATAAAAAAAAAAAGAATATTTGTAGATATAGAAACAGCTTCTAGGAGATTTGCCTGCGCAAAAGAAAATTCCAGAATGGACCCAAACTGTAAAATGAACCAAAGCAAGGAACTTTTTTTGTGAAAATCAATGAGGTGCTGGCTGATCGTTCTGCAGGAAAACCACAACAACAACAACAACAATAAAAAAATCCACAAGTTGTTACTTTGAAGGAAATATAAAACAAATTAAGCAGGAAAATGGCCAGCTTATTTTTTAATGTTTGTAATGCTTGCATCCCTTTTGATTGAGAGGAGAAAAATTATCAGCATGGACCAAAGAATGAAGAAAAGGAGCAGGGAAAGGTGGCTGGGGGAGAAGTTGGGGTGGGCACAGATCCTGGGGGACCGTGAGTGAAACAACCCCTAAAATGCAGACACAGAGAGGCAAAAATTCCAAAAGAACATTTAACTGCATCCACGAGCAAACTCAGCAACACGGCGTGGCGAGGAACGAAAATCTCCTTTTTTTTTTTTTTTTTCCTGCTAAACACCAGCAGAAAATCAGGGTTCAGACCCCCAGCAAACACAAACCAAGAGCACACTTGAAAATGAAGCTGCGTTCCAATTAAATCCGGGTTGATTTGTGCCGAGGGGGGGCAATGACCATTAAAAAAAAACCCAAAAAAACCCCAAAAACACAGAAAAACAAAATTTCCCTTCTCCCTGAGCTGCCGCAGCGCTGAACGTTCCCGATGCTCCCCGAGTGCTCTGCACCAAAAAAAAAAAAACATCCAAACCACGGAGCCCCAGCCTGGATTTTAATTTGGGTAAATTTGGGGGATCCCACTGAGGTGTCTTAGGGGTGCCCTGACTTTCTGGAATTGCTGAACCAGCTCAAAATGCTGAAATTCCTGCTGCTTTAAGAGATCACCAAATTGCCTTGCACACTTCACAAAGTGCTGGGTTTGTTCTCAGTTAGGAATATTCACTTTTTTTTTTGCTGAAATATTGGAGATACTGAATATGCTGGTCCCTCCTATTACCCCAAAATTCAGATTTAATTTCGTTTAGCTGCACGCACACAGGGATTTAAATTTTTTTTTTTTTTTTTTCAAGTCGAACCACATCTTTCTTTTTCTCTTTTTCACAATTCCTCCAGCCAAATTTGAGCTGCAAGTGGGCACCTGCATGAAGTATTTGGAAGGCTGATATATATATATATATATACACACTATATATATATGTGTGTGTGTATATATATATATTTAAGAGGTTGCATCTGGGAAAGGCATTAATATTTATTGCAGAATTAGAATAAAAATGACTTGGGGGGAGCAAAGAGGATGGAAGGTTTAGCACTAAATGAAGCTGATTTAGGGGTAACAGGAGAATTGCAGAAAGATTTTTATTAATTTCTTTAAATGAGACACTTTAGCCAGTTTTTGGCCTTAACCTAGATAATAATCAAAAATAAAATAATAATTTTTTCAGAACGGGATTATAAAAAAATCAGCTGATTTTGATGTTTCTTGGCCAATCTTTGGCCTTGCTAAGGAGACAGAATTAGGTGGGAGTTTAGGAAGTGACTCTGGCTCCAGCCAAGCAAAGGAACCTTGGCCCATCCTCTCGATATTTTCAGGGTGGTGGGGGAAAAATCTGAACACATTTCAAGAACTACCCCTGAAAACTCTGGCATTGCTATAGAAAAGCTGATTGACTTCATGCACAGACATAAAATTAATTAAGATACAAGTCCAGATTTCTGTCCCTGTTGCCTCTCTCTTGCTGGGTACACATTGATGCATTTAAGAGGTTTCCAAAATGCCATTTTAAATCTGCCTCCCTCTCTTTTAGAGCTTTTTAAAAGTTACTGCTCCTCCTGCTGGGAGTTCCCACCGAGCCCAGGAGTTCAGCTGATGAATTCAGTGCCCCTTTTCCACTCCATACCAAGTCACTGGTGCCAGCTCAATAATTTTTTAGTATTTTTTTAGTAAATCCTTGAGGAATCCTTGGTGGGGGAGCAGCAGGAGAGCTCCGGACACAGCTGAGGGGTGCTTGGACATGGAGAAAGGGTGAGGGCAAATTAATCCAGGTCTGGCATCACTTAAACTCTTCCCAAAGCAGCTTTTGACCCACAGCCCCATCTTAGCTGTCTGTGCCCAAATTGTCAGGTTCTGTACCTGGCTAAAACTGGAACTTTGTGTTCCACACCTCTGAGGATTTTTATCCACCTCAGATGAGGGAGAAGAATCAAATTGACCTCGATCAAATCCTGCTGGAGTCACAAAAATCTTCCTGCAGCAGGACAAGCAGAAGCCCTAAAGATAAGCCCCACGTGCAGTAGAAGGTGTAATATAAAATTTAAAAAAAAATCATCAATTAATAATTTTTTTCCTCCATCCATCTTTTATGCTTCATTAAAATAGAGGTGCAGAATCAAGAGGTCCAACATTGGCTGTATATTGGGAACAGCCTCTGGATAGTCCTAAAATTCTGGGTACACCTAAAAATTCTCCCTTATAAAGCAAATAATTCTGTATTTTTGGGGTTGCTGTGGAATTTGGACTTGTGGCCTCAGTGATTTTTTGGCGTGAGAACACACCTACCATCTAGGATAATTCTGATTATGTTTACCAGCAAATCCTGTGATCCCAAAATCTAACGAAAATATAAAGATACAATGCAATCCTGCTTAAATAATTCAGTGCTTCCAAAACAGCACTGAGAGGAAACAAAGAAAAAAAAAACAAAACAGAAGTTGTTATTATGAGTATAGGTTAAACAATATTAAATTCAAATTTACTGAGAGGTGCA